CACAGTCAGCTCCAGGTCTTGTTTTTACCAGATGTCTACATGACATGTGAATTGCCCTTAAAAGTCACACACACAAAGATCTATTAAGTCATTAGGCAACTTGCTCAGTTGTGATTTTTACCAACTGCAAATCTAAAGCTTCCGTCCTACATTTAAAACCCATGACTATGGAACTGCTACAACTATAACTAAAATTTTGAAAATGCTTTTAAATTCTCAGTAGCAGAGCACATTTCAAAAATTCGTGTTAATTCTGAGCCAGGTTTTTTTATTTTTTAAAAAGTGTGATTTTCACTATGCCAAAATTACAGAGGGGTTGTTATTGTAATTAGTTTTGGGGTTCTGGAATTCAGTATGCAAACATTATGCTCTTAAAATTGACCCAAAATTAAAAGTTCTCCTTCAGCTTCGAAGCTTACTGGGTGATACTGTCCTCATTATTTCCTGAAGGTGGTAGATCTAGCCTCTGAGACCAGGCCCACCTTCAGTGACTCCCCCAACTGTTTTAAAGAGCTATTTTTTAAAATAGGAGCAGATCTAGCATTTTCAGTTTGGAGGCCAGATCTTCCCATAGAAAATAATGGCCCTTTAAAGTTTAAAGGGACCGCATGCCACAGAATAGCTGACAGCCTGGCATGGATCATCTCTCTCCCTTTCCCCCTCCTTTCCTGCTCATGTGCCTCCCTGAACTCTGAAACACTCCTGAAATTCTGGGAGATAAATTATCATTAATCCTAGAGTGCTTGGGGTCATTTCGGGTATCTCTGAGCCAACCTGAAACAGCTAATTTCAGCTAAGGTATATCCAAATGCACATCCCTAATTCTCGGGGGGGGGGGGAAATCTTGTTTCATGTTTCATGTTAAACACAGTAAGTTAAATAATTTCTTTTTTACAAACTATTATTGGTAGACTTTTTTATAATGTCCAAAGGAACAAAGAAGCATAATGGGGGGGGGGGATTAAAATCCTTGTAATACATACCAACAGACTGTTGAAACATTCACTGCAATCTCAAAGACAATTGGGGACAGACCAGCTGTGATAACCTAGAAAAGGTAGCAAAAATGACCGCTTGTTACATCAACTTCCTGTTACGTTCATCCTGAAGAAACTAAACATTTGTTTGTGCTTATGTGTGGGAGAGGCTATAGGGAGATTAACACTTGAAAATTAGGGCTAACCAATTTAACTGATAGATTAATTAATGCTTAATTACAGAGTTAAATGCCTTCTCCGGCCAATTAATAGGTGGAGCAGAGATCAAGCAAAGGCTTATGATTCTTCCGGGACTCCATTTGAGCCCACTCCCTTTGCCTTCACTTTCTCTCCAAAGCTGGTTGATATTTTGTCTTTAGGATGAAACTGCTATGACTTTCACTTTTTTGTTTTAACATTCTGTTTATAAATATGACAAAGCTGAAACGTAGCCGTTAAGAAAAGTAAAGAGTCAAAATTACATGTAATATAGACTGCAAAGCTAATCCTAAGAACTCTAGTCAGTTAAAAAGATAGTGCTCAACTGGCCCTGACCTGGATAGCCCAGGCAAGCCTGATCTCATCAGATCTCAGAAGCTAAGTAGGGCCAGGCTGGCTAGTATTTGGATGGGTGACCTCCAAGGAATACCAGGGTCATGATGCAGAGGCAGGCAATGGCAAGCCACCTCTGAATGTCTCTTGCCTTGAACACCCCATCGGGGTCGCCATAAGTCAGCTTGATTTGATGGCAAAAAAAGAAAAATAGTGCTCAATGGAAATAATTCAGTACATTTTTTTCTGCCCGGCTCTTCCATGATACTGATGGGAATTTTTTTTAATTAAATATTTTTTATTAATAATTCACAATATTAAAATAATAACAACAATAACAACAACCATTAACATCCAAAACGTATTTCAAAGAATATTATAGTCAGTAGTAATACCTAAAAGTTGTTACATAATGGAAAACTGTTAATTATAAGTTCAAAGAATATTACAGTTTATATTGTCCAGGTTACAAAATCCATTTGTGTCGAATAAAACTGTAATATTGCGATTGCTGAGTCTTACTTAACTGCTCCAAGATGCACTCTAACTTTTCTAAAACTTGGCCCCATCTGCCATAAACTGCATCGTATTTATATGACGGTAAATAATAATCTAATTTATCTGTAATTTTATCCATCAGCAAATGATTCCAAATATTCGAGAACCATGAGCTGACAGTGGGGGAGGACTGACCATTCCAAGTTGTAGCTATCGACGTCTTAGCAGCTGAAAGAAGCAATGTAAATAGTCCTTTGTTGTTTTGGGTTAGTGAAGTGTCGTTCCAATAATTTAGGAGAATAATATCAGGTCTTAAAGGTATCTCATGCCCTGTAAGTTTTTTGATTTCCTGAATAATTAGTTGCCAAAATGATTGAATTTTTGGGCATTCCCACCAACAATGTAAATACGTGCCTGGCATACCGCATTGTCGCCAACATAGGGGTGAGTAAGATTTATTTATTTTGTGTAGTTTTACAGGAGTCATGTACCAATGTGTTAAGATTTTATAATTCTGTTGTTGTACGTTGATTGCTTTGGTTTTACAGGCATAAGACGTCCATATTGATTGCCAGAAATCTTCTGGCAGAGAACAATCAAAATCTTTCTCCCATTTTGTAGTATAGGCTGGTAATTTATACGGAAGGGGGTCAATAAGAATTTTATAGATATTGGAAATCATACTGATGGGAATTTTTAAAGCCATTTTGCTGCTGCTATTGCTAAGAATAAACAATAGAATACTATTCCATTGTTTTGCAGGATATACATGTATTTAAACTTATGTTTACAAACAGTTGATACGCCTTTTGAGAACAGAAGTATACACTGCAATACAAACATTAAATGGAGCCAGGACACCTTTGAACTGTCCTGATATCAACCAATGTCCTCATTTGTGCGAACTGTTCTGTAGCAATACATTCTCGGCCATTCTCATTGCCCAAGCCGGGCTACTCGAGGAAAGTACTTGCTGAGGACTAAACCGGATGTCATAGTGGCACCAGCTGTTTTTGTTAGCTGAGAAATTAAACGCGCTGGATTGAGAGACTCTAATACTGGGCAATGACTCAAAGCAGAAGAAACTTTATTAAACAGACTGCCTTAACTAACTGTATACTCTAGGCTTTCTTCACACGTCTCCTGGGGTGGAGATCCCTCCTGTTCTGGCTTCCCTTTGACCCCCTGACCCAGGAACTTTTCTCATGCTACTGGTGGGTTATAATGAAGGTGGTGCCATTTTACTGTAAAGTAAGTAAGGTTTTAAAGCACGGCAGGGCACACAGGCACACCGAATCTTCCTCCCACCTGCATTCCCCACCCCATAAAACTGTTCCCCTCTAGTAATCGCCCCCACACATTACGGCTTCAAGACTAGATATTACCTCTGCTAGTAGAAGTGGGCGAAAAGAAAATTGGGGGGGGGGGCTACAGGCGGGGAGAAGGTTCCACAACCTCCTCCAATAAGCCATCAAATGCCCCCTCCCCACTTTGACAGGAATTCAGAACAATTTGCATTGAGTTTGGCTCCGAATTACATATTAGGTCATAAGAAGGGTGCCCCATCAAAGGTACTGTCCTCTGGCACAAATCCCTCTGATTCTGTGAGTTTTGCAAATAAAAATGAAGTGATTTTACTTTCACAATGAATTGTCATTTTTTAAAAAATAATCCTGCAGATCTTTACAAAAACCATTCATTCATCCAAAGTCACCAGGACATTGTGGGGTTTCTCGTCTTTCTTTTAGTAACAAATTTCAAACACCCCAGGAATGCATGTATAAGGCAAATCAGTTGAATAATTGCCACACTCTACTAGTTACATAAGCCAAAACTTCTATAAAGAATCTACAATCCCAAAGAGAAATAAAACATAGCCAAAATCACAGGACCACTGAGGGCACGTAAAGGGAGAAGAAAAATGGTGCATGCCAATTTTCAGTGTTTGTTTTTTTTTTTAAAGCCAATGAAGGGGAAATATCAGAGCATTCAGCTGTGCAATTTGGTTAACAACAAAACTGCAAACACAGTGCTCTAACTTGGACTGTAATCTTTCCACTTTCTAAATTTAAACATGAATGATTGCATTGTTTTAATACAAACAAGGCTTTATCTGGATTAATACAGTGTGTTTTTTTTATCCTGTGGAACCCTTGGTAGGCATGAATAAAATAAGATCTCGCGCTCACACACACACAAGATCAGACTGCAGTATGATGCTGGACCTGGACTAAGGGGTAATTCTTGCACCTCAGTAGAAAAGAGCAAGAGTCCAGTAGCACCTTAAAGACTAACAACATTTGTGGCAGGGTATGAGCTTTCATGAGTCACTGCTCTCTTCTTCAGATCTTTGAGCCAAGTGACTCATGAAAGCTCAACCCCTGCCACAAATGTTGTTAGTCTTTAAGGTGCTACTAGACTCTTACTCTTTTAACGACACAATATGCAAAAAATACAGTTAATGCTAATGACTATATAATTACGACACTGGAAAGACACTCACAACCCACTGAACAAAATGAGCTATAACTTCTATATTCTGAAAAGGGTTTTTAAAATGGAGTTAGCTAGCCCTCTGTATGTGATATTTGGCACATTTGTCAACTGTTTTTGAATTCTTTGATGATGTCAGTGAATGAAAATTGTATAGCTATTTTTCAACTGGAGACCTCTAGCACACTCGTGGCTCCTTCATCACTGTTCTGTGCATAACAGGTAATTGGAAATTTAGCTCTCTAGTCCCATTGCCATGTTTACTTAATTAATTCATTTATACCTCACCTTTCTCCCCAAGGGGGGCTTACACCATCCTCCTCTCCTCTATTTTATCCTCACAAGAACCCTGTGAGGTAGTTTAGGCTGAGAGAGTGTGACTGGTCCAAGGTTACCCAGTGAACTTCCATGGCACAAGGCGAGGGGGGGGGGATCAAACACCAACCATTATTCTGGCACTGACCAGAACTTATAGCCATCGTTTGAAGTGGGTTTGCAAATAATGTTTGCAAGAGAACCTGGTTTACAGTAGGACACATATAATACAAAAACATGGCTAGTTCTGAGAAAGGAAGCAAAGGAAAAAGAGGGAGTTTGTCATACACCTTTTGCTATTCAAGCAATATTTCCAGATTAGAAATCAGTGAATGTCCAACTTCATATGTTTAATTTCATTTCTGAGAATCTTAGTACACTTACACGTTCAGACATAAGAAGGATACAGCACTAAAGACAGCAGCAATACAAGTCAGTGAAAGGCGTGAACACAGAGTTTGAGGGGGGGGAAATCCTAGAATAGCTTTCAAAGATTCTGCTTTACAAAAAATAAGTCCTGAGAGCTAGCCATGTTAGGCTGTTGCAGAAAAATAAAACAGAAGTCCAATGGCACCTTAAAGACTAAAACAATTTGTTCCAGTTTTCATGAATCAAAGCTTACTTCATCAGATGCACTACATGCCAATGGACTACAACTCTATGGAAAGAGACTTCAGTCATCCAGATGTTGGTTTCAGCATTTATTTAAAATCATTGCCATTTCTCAAGTGTTTACTAGTAGTGTACACTCTCAGATGAAGGACCCTTTCAGACACCCTTTGTAATCTGCTTTGGTAGCTCGTTGCTAATGAATGTGTGTGTGTCATTTCAGACACAACCGTTTTATTAAGCAGCCGCTAACTGATTTTATTTACCTTTTCATACAAAGCCACTTGCATCTGGTTAGAAAACTGCTTTCCTCCAGTCTTCATTCCTTCCTACAACTTCTGAAGCGCTATGGGGTGCTGTATAAAATGCCCCTAGCGCTTCCTGCTATTACAGTTCTTTTCACACCCTTTTTCTCCCCGCGTGTGATTGTCCTCTTTCTTTCTTTCTTTTGAACATTCTATTGGGAGCACTATAGCGCTGAAGCAGAACTACAAATCAGCGCCATAGCGACCCCATTGAGATTCCTGGACTCCATTTAGATACACTGACATTCACTACTGCTGTCACTTGGAACAAGTACCAGATTGGACAGCGTGTTTAAGCA